GCGCGGTCTTCTGCGGCGTCGATCGAACGTTTATATTCCCTCCTACAGAGGGAACGGATGGAATTTTTCCATCCAGTTGTTGGCACACATACGTTGCTTCGACGACGCGTGTTCAATAACGATTCTAATGAACGGCCTCCCGCGTCGAATTGCAATTTAGCGTAGTAAAACGTAGAATCCACTCGCACAATATTCATCAACGTAATCAACGACATCCTTCTTCTTGGGAAGGGAATCGTTTTTCTAGCGAGGAGCTAAGTAGGTTAAACGACTCGACGTTTAAATAAATAAACGAAACTCGACCGAAACGAAATTTCAACTATTCGGATCGCTTTTCTTTTTTTCGCGGAGGAGACAGCGAAAGTTGTTGTCTCTCAAAATCAAAATCGACTGGATGGTAGGGACGCGAGGCTTCTCTCGAACGTGCGCGAAACTTTCTCTCGTCCAGACGACGACGTTTCTCGATCGATGGACTCTCGATTTTTGATCGATTTGCGCGATCTCTTGTCGTTTCGAATCGAGACACGCGTAAAGATTCTCTTATTCTCGTCGCGAGAGGGGAGAATACCTCGGTGAAATAGAGGTGTTTCGCAATGTTTCGAGCGTTTGGATCTCCTCGTGATAATATATCGCGGTGTTAACCGTGTAACGGGACGCGCCATGATGATTATTTAACGTAGCATTCGATAACTCTCGTCGCTTCGTTACTCCGTATATTAATGAAAGCTTTATCACAGCGGTATTCCATATGAATGAAATTTTAGATGGTTTGGACCGATTATGACCGAATTCCAGCCGTTCTAACGTTTCTATTATCCCAACGTTTCACCGTTTATCGTCTTTATTATATGATTATAATTAGTCGCTTCGATCGATTGTAATCGGTTTCTCGATTGTTCCACGTTGAATCTATTGTTGGAACGTATATATACGAATTTGCATAAATTATGGAACGAAGAGGAAAAAAGGAATCGAATTATAAATAACTCGTATATAAAACTCCATCCTCTTTAAGAATCGATCTTGAAACCGTTATTTCCAGTTGTCGAAACTTGGCCTCATAATTAGAATTAATCCTAGGAGAAACGAACCGCGGTTGTTCGCGGATCAGTGAACAGTTAACTTCTCCCATTCATTCGCGCCATTTCACAATCGATTCGTCAATTGGTCGGCCGTTTGCCGCCGCTTTTCCGTCCTCGCCTCTGTAAAAATCGGGCGCAAGGAATGAGGTGATTTACCGTGGAGACGCTCGGCGAAGATGATCGACCTTGATGGTCGATTCGAGAGAGTTCCCTCTCACTCGAGGTAAATCGACGACGAGTCAAGGAAGTAACGAGTCGGTGATTTACTCGTGTAACTCGACGTGTATTCGACGTGTCCTCTCGCCATTCTTGCGTTACCCATCCCATCCTTTCTCCGGATCAGGCGGAAACGTTGATTAAAAAAAAAAAAAAAAAAAAAAAAAGAAAAAAAAAAGGAAAGAAAAAAAACAACACTGACCTTCCCGCCAACGTCATGGATCGATCGATCGATCGATCTTGGCAGAGGATCTCTCGATAAACATCTTGCAAGCATTCTCGGATTTTTTTTTTTTTTTCACTTTTTTTTCTCTCTCTTTTCAATCGTCTTCAATCTCTCGATATATATATATACGCAATAATGAGCGAATATATATACGAAGCGAGATCGATCAAACGTTAAAAACGTTCTTCTGGAAGTTTTCTCTACCACTTTCTCCGAGTTATTTCGATGTCGATTCAAATCGTCGATCCTCGGTGCATTAACCTTTTCTGCCAGTCACCGTGTTTGGTTTCGTCACGGTCTTACGTCATCTTGTACAGACATACACACGTACACAACTTGCGTTTGATTTTACGTTTCCAGTTTCATTTTGTATATACATATTCTACTTGGCAAACCTCTTTGCCGAGGTAAATGTACGTACATTCACGCTCCTTTTCGCGGTACATCTAATTCATTCGTTTTTTTTTTCTCGAACGAGCGAATCGTTCGCTTCGTCGTGAGAAATGGCGATATACGAACGGAGGATATCGCGTCTTCTTTGGCGAATAAATGAAATCACTTGTACCAGGTTGTTTCGCGGACAATAATGGGCAGCAATAATTCGCCTTTTATTGCGATACATAAAAGCAATTATTATTCCTTATTATTCATCCCTCATCCATTCCCTCATTTTTCGCATCCTTGATTTTTTCAAGATTGCGAATACTCTTTGCTCCCTTGCCTTGTATTTATTAATGGAAATTGAAACCGAGAAAACGTTTTACGAAAACGGAAGGGATAAACGAGGAATGCAATCCCTTTTTTTTTATTAATTCGTGATTATCCCGCGCCTCGAAAATCGAAGTAAAAGAAAGAAACGTGGTGGAAAAGAACACATGGAACAAACGTTCTAAAATAATAATAATAATAATAATAATGACAATAAGATAGAACGAAGAGAAATATTTTTTCTCACGTGATCATCGTTCGAGACAAAAGTATTTCAATCAACGTGGCAATTATTTCAAGATTGATGATGAAACGTGCGCGGCGAAGAAAAGTATATAGTAAGACTACAGATTTCTCACTTATCAACTCCATTCTCCTCAGTTATCCATTCTTCTGGCTGAGGTCGCGGTGACCGCTAAAAACCTCTTCCACCCGATGAAACTTTTCCTTGACAGGTTCGAATTTAAACCTTCCTTTTCTTTTTTTTTTTTAACCGCGAGAATCAAAGCGCGAGCCATATTTTGCCGTGACAATTTTTACTTTTTTTTTTTTTTTTTTTTTTTTTAAATCCTCTCCCTTATCAAAACGAATTTTTCTTTTCCTTTTTTCTTTTTTTTTTTTTCGTCGCGATTTTTTTTTTTCGACGCGATAATAGCAATACCTCGACGAGGAGTGCTAATTAAAAAACTGCGAACTTGACTGTTATCGCGATGAAAAGGAAGAGGAGAAGCGGGGGTAGAATTGAAGCGTATTTCGCGCCCGCGCGTTTTGTTTAAAATTAATATTTTCGAACCGAAATGGCGTGCCCCGAGGGAATTTCCCTCCGACCCACCGACCCCCCTTCTCTTATCATGAATTAAATTGCAACCCTCCCCTCTCCTTTTTAACGAGAGAGGCCCCTCCTTCTCCCGATTTCACGACCGAATCGACGAGTCGCGGCTCGCGAAAGTGGCGGAGAACCGCGATCAACAAGTTCATTCACCGCCTACGCGATCGTCGATCCCTGGCTCCCAGAGAAATACGATCGCGATATGGATTGGAGTAATTAAAGTTTAATTAAGCAAGTCGCGCTCACGTTGTGACTAGGACCGTTCTTAACGTCCTTAACGGTAGAATCTAATATTCGGGATCGATGACTAACGCTTCGGCACACTCTAACGCGTCTTTTATTAACGGATCACAGGGAGGCGGAGGAATGCGGTTATTGCTTTCATTCGGAGCAATTTTTCATCGAGGGAGGAGGGAAGGAGGAGGAGGAGGAGGAGTGTATTAGGATCGGTGTACACCGTCCGCATTTTTCACGAAACTTTGAAATTTCACTCGATATTATATCGCTTTTCGACCTTTTAATTTTCCCCGATATTATTCGGCCGAAGTTATGAAGTTATTTATTCGATTATTTTTTCCCCTTTTATACCGGTTTATCGATCGCTGTAATCTTACGGATACAGGCGTGCGTGCCTCGGTTGATTGATTCTCGATCGAGGATACGAGCGAGCGGATACGAGAGTGAAAGAAAATGGCGATAGATAAGTATACCGATTTCTCGAGAGTCGGGTGAGAAGTATTCGAAAAGAATCGGCGTCGACGCAACGACGTTTAACTCGATCTTATCGTTTGCTCTGACCGAGGCGGTCAGTTTCAAAACAGGACAAACAAGATTTCTGGATCACTGTTTTCCATCTCTCGCGGAGGAAAATTCTCGTTACCGTCGAAGGGAGACAACGTGATACGGACGGCGTTCGTATCGTTAATGAATCAAATCCAAAGGAGGGGTGTAGTAAGCCCTGTAATTTTCCAGGTTGACGAGCTTCTCTTCAACTGCCACGAGGATGTTGCGCCAAACATCCTTACGCAGTCGGAGTCGCAGTTGAATTTCCTTCCTTACACTCGATAGTCAAAGGATGTTTACAATTTACTTGCTACGCCTCCGTTTGCATAGCTCGGCGTCGTCGATCTCGCGAGGTGGCAGAGGCGGCTCGATGTCCATGCGCTCAGGTGTGAAACCCTCTCGTTTCGATCGGGAAAGAAAGAAAAAAAGAAAGAAAGAAAGAAAGAAAGAAAGAAAGAAAGAGGACGTTCCCGAGGAAAATGGTGGTCGGGAGCGTGGCCGAGAAATAGCGAAAATAGGAAAGGCGGAGAACAAAGAGAGCCGCCCGTTAACCTCTTTGTTACGTGAACCTTTGCTTAATCTCTGAAAGCGGATTGAACACGTCGCGCGGATCAATAAATTACCGCTCACTTTGAACTATGTTTAAAGGGGATATGTTTAGTGCACACGTACCGGCAACCACGTCGGATCTCGGAAAAGTATCTCGTTTGATTCGCGGTTTCGTTTACTCTAATTTTCCAGCATCGCGATTAATTCCCCTCGCGTACATTTTCCTTTGGAATTTCATTCCATACAGCTGGTATATATATATATATACACACGCTTGTTGGAATTTTTTTGCGCTTCGCGGAAATTTTCTTTGGAATTTTTATCTCATCATCGTGGCGCAATATTTTTCGTTATAAATAACGAAAGATGTATATAACTCGTTAGCGTGGATTCAGCCGCGTCGGTCCCTCCTTGTTTCGTTCTTTCTCTCGAGGAAAGGTTATCCGTTAAAAGAAACGCGAAAAGACACCCGTTAAAAATCACGAACGAAATGACATAATTCAACGTTGAATCCTCTGAAAGATAATCGTGCGTTTTCCCACTTTTCGACACGCTTATCACGATCCACATAATTCCGAGACTTATAGCGAAGCATTATACCACTAACATGGATTTGCACTTCGCCAGTCCCGGGATGTGATTCCAGCAGCATCTCTTGGAACCAAAGTCTGGCGGGCATCCGAGGAACACCGAGAATCCATACGCACATGCCAACGCGATACAACGTCTCGTCTTTTTCCTTTCTTCCTTCCTTCCTTCCTTCCTTTTCTTTTCTCCTCTTTTCCTCCTCTGTCGTATCTTTTTCACTGTCGAGCTAGATTTTTATTTTATTCCGATTATTATCGCGCGGAATAAAAGTTTAACTCTTCAGTTTCTAGAAGTAATTAAAAAACCAGAATTGCGGGGAAACGGAATGTTTTCTCTTTCGAAAAAAGAATCTCCTCCCCTCTCTCTCTCTCTCTCTTTCTCTCTCTCTCTTTCTCTCTTTACGTCTACGTAAAAATGTTATGAATCGCCGCTGTTTCATTCCACTTCTCACCGCCAACGGTTCTTTTCTTTTTGCTTTTCCTCTTTCCCCCGCGCAAAGGACAAAGGATCTCTCGAGAGAGACGGTCGAGAAAACGTTGCACGCTCTCCCTCTCTGCAACGAGAATCGTGCCGGGGGAAAAGAAGCGTTTCTTTTTTTTTTTTTTTTTTTTCCTCCAGTTTCTTCCTTTCCTTTGATATCTCGTAATAATTATTGATTCGATTAGAAATTCGATATTCCAAGGAGGGGGACGAGCGTGTAAAACGTTGCTGGCAGAATCTAAGGAAATTACGTAATTTCCGGCTTCCCTGTCACGAGGCGTCCCCCCCTCCCCTCCTTCTCGTTTCATGGTTTCGCGTAAGGATTTCTACCGTTTCCAAGATGCATCTGACGTTCCCTTATCCAGTTGTTTACGCTGTTACTGACACGTTTAATTTTATCCGCACGGTCACTTTACCTTCCAGCAAACTCCAACGTGTATATATGTATATATATATATATATATATTTTACCTCGACAAACTTGCTCGCGGCCAATTTGGCTGATCGTCCTCGATCCCGTTGCGCATTCGTCCGCAATTATAATTAAAATCGCGATATGCGATATACTCGAGGAACAACGCGCGGCAACAACGTTCCGACTTGTTGCATCCTACGAATTTCCTTTCGTCCGCATCCTCTAAATTTCCTCCGTCGATGAATTCCTCTTCTCCACTCCTTCCCTCCTCCGAACATTCCGTTTGGCTCACCTTCGAGGGCCATCGATCTAACGTCGGATCACCCGTCGGATTCATCCGGCATCCGCGTGATAAAGCTTCACTAAATCAACCCCGTTACCATCACCTACGCGCCCAACAGTTTCTACATCGAACACAGTTCTTCCAGACAGTCGTAAAATTTTTAACGATAATGTCACGACATTACACTTTTTTCGACGACGTCGAGTTTTATCGAGTTAACGAGTTTATTTATATTGCGTGTTTTCATGAGAGAGAGAGAGACAGAGAGAGAGACAGAGAGAGAGAGAGAGAGAGAGAGAATGGAATGGAGAGAAATAAAGAAATAAAAGGAAACGGAGACGAAAGCCGTGTGCGTTACGTTAGCGCGACAACGTTTCCGTGTTTTCGTTACGTTACAAGCAACAACTAGACTCGAGAGCCGGCCTTAAAAAAATATTGCGCTAACTTTTACCTATATACGTTTTCATTTCTCTGTCAGTTTTCTATTCGGAATAACGTTGACCCAGATTTACATTTTTCCACAGACACAGCGTTCCGCCGGCTAAAAAACGTTTGCGTATGTATATATATATATATATATATATATATATGTACGACACAGGCTGGTAGAAAAGTTGCGTTTACTTAATGGATCCCAAGGCGATATATGCGAATGTCTTTTATTGTCACTGCGTACCACGGGAAACTTCGATCGTTGCGGACTGCAAACGAAGCATGTCTTCGTATTAGGTATCGAAGGAGGAGGAGAGGGAAGAGGGGGAGAGGGAAGAGGGGGAGAGGGAAGGAGAGTTAGATGAGCGAAATAACCGCGACATGCCGACATGCTTCTTTTATCGATTCGTAAAATACGTATCGGGATAAGTTATAAGAGATATCGTTCCATTTCCGACGATTTATACACAGCTTTAAGGATAACGCGTTTATTATAACGATGAAATTTCTCATTTTGGCTCACGGCAAGGAGAGAGATGCAAAAGCGTTGCCTAAATTCTCATCATCCTTCGACCTATATCCCCGCTTTTTTGCAATTTCGCGCGAGCGAAGTTTTCGGAGGATGCATCTAACAGGGAGGCTCTGTCGATAGTTTGAAAGCTGATGTATATAACTATTACGGTGTAGCTTTAAAAACAAGTCAAAGAACGTTTAATTAATAAAATAGCAAGGATAATAATAAAATTGGCGATCCAAAAGGAAGGAAAACGAAGATACGAACGAAAGATAATAGGGAAAAAGATTATTAATAAGATACGACAATTGAAAGATAGTTAGAGGAAAACGACTTTGTTTATCGTGCAAGCAAAGAAAAGCGTAAAAAATTAATCGAATAAACGCGAAAGAGATTCGAACGGTATAGAGAGTAAATATCGAAGTACAGAAAAATATATACGAATATATACGAATACCGAGTGACATTTGTATATAGAGAAAAAGAAAGAATAGTAAATAAAGGATAAGAAAGGAAGCGCGGGACAGAGGAGAAAGAAGGAAAGGAAAGGGTAAAAAGGAAGAAGAGAGCATAGGTATATAGTCATAGAGATAGAAACGTGTGGTACGGCGTACGCCCCGCCCTCTTCTCGACTCGACTCGTCGCTCTCCCTCTCCCTTTTCCTCTCGAATCCCTGACGGTAGGGTTCTCCGTTGGTCGTGCACCCTCCGTCGGTGTGTGTCAGCCCTTCTCCCCTTCGCTCCTCTTCGCGCTCGTTTGCGAGCTTACATCATACCATTTTCGATGGATCGATGGTAATTCGGTAACCCTCCGCAGTGCGGCGCCAGCGTCGCCGCTAGAGCAACTCAGCCGCTCAGTTGGAACTCGGGTTCACTCAGTCTACGACCGTTTGCCACGAGACTTCGATCACATCGGTCTTTCCCCGTCTTTCTCTTCCTCTCCTCCCTTCTTTTTCCCGCTTGGAGAACAGAAAGCAACTACCACCACCACCACTACACACCACCACCACCATTACCACCACCGCTGGCGACGCCGTCGACGCCGACGCCGCTGCCGCCACTATCGCCACCACCACCACCACTGTCACCGCCACCGACGACCGGAGAGACGCACGTAGTCTAAACGTGAGACTCGCACGGACGTTGTCGTTCGTCCTCGCCGGTGGTCCTCGTACACTGTTTTTCGAGCCAGCTCCGGTTGTACTTCGACTTCATCCTTCATCGAGGAGTGATCAGAGATAACAGGTGAGTCACGATATAATATCTTTTTACTTATCGAGTACAATTTGCGCATCGCAGTTTCGATGAGATCACCGCCGTTGTCACGTTTTCATTGTTTAACGCGTTCCTTCTCTTGTGTATGTTTTCTTTCTTCTTCCTCTTTCATTTTACGCGTTGTCTCGCGTAAAAAGCGACGTGATATTTGTATATACGTATCCTAACCTTCGCGGTACAACAACACGCGATATTTGTTTTCGTCTGACGCGTCGTATTAGATCGAAACATTCGTAATATGAATTTCATGGTGGGAGGATGGGAGGGAGGGGATAACGAGAAAGAAACCCGCGTGCGATATCGAAAGATTTCGAACACATCGAAGTCGCGTCAAGTCGAGTGCGGCTAAGTTCACGGTACATCGCGCGTAGATTGTCGTTCTTCGTCAGCCGCGGCGTATCGCGTATTTTCCTACTCTCTCTTTTTCGTGGTCGTTGGTTGCGAAAGGTACGTGTTCCACGGTTCGATAAAACGCAAGAGTTAGGCCGCTGCAGGTCTCATCGATCTTGAACGCATAAGTTGTCGACGCTCGTGGCTTTCCACCTTCTCGTGGTCGTGTGTATGGTGTGCCCGTCGTCAAAGTCTCCACGCGATTTCCCCGCGGAAACGCTTTACCACGTCGTTATCGCTTCCTTTCCCATATCTACGCTTTACTTAACCTCTACAAACTCTCGTATTTTACCTCGATGTATTTTGTTGCTACGCAATCGGAAACTGCACGCGTATCTCTGATTCGTAAACAATCCGTTAAATGAATGGAATGCAAACAATAATATTTTTTTCGTGCATTTTAGAGGATAATATTCGAGGAAATACGATGTAATATTTGCGATCAACTTTACAATATAGATGTTATCGTAGCAATTGCGTTTCAGATCTAATTTGAATGTCATGTTAACACGGTGTTATCATTTTCCGTATCGTTATCGGGTAAACCAAGTTCCATTAGGGAAATGTAACTTCGGCGGGTCTTAAATTGAATGGCAGTTAAGGGGAACTATTTCTGTGATATATGCAGCTTGATGGGAAGTGTATCGAGAGCGCGTCGTACATTGTTCGGAAAGTGTGTTTTAGAGAATAATCCATTTAAGTCGATTCTAATTCAAGAACCAAATCCTTCTCGAGTACTTACGTTGCTTTCAACGGCGTGAACAAATTTTGTTTGGTCGCGTAGATTGACGGAAGCTAGAGACACGAATGAATGCACGAAGGGACGCAAATCGTTTCGCGTTTAAGAGGTTAGGAGAATAAAGAAAAGATCGAAGAAAGGAGCAATCTACGACCGTTTCGTTTTAACCATTTTTCGTTTTATTGTCTATTTTTATGGTATTTTAAAAGTTTCATATATTATTTTCCTCGTGCGAGCGAAAATAAAATGTTCTCTAATAAATTATTCGTAATTCGTCTTGCGTAATTTAATTCTAATAAAAGTTTTTTCTCATTTATTACCGCATTTTAAGGAAATGTATCTGTTCAAAAAGATATAATAGTTAACGAGTAAGATTTCCAACGTCTTCGTTAAAATTTTCAATGTATAAATTCGAGTTTTTCAAGTTTAAGTGATATTTAAAAGTCGAAACTTGGTGTACGAATTACTTGACAACCTATTTGTTCGTTGGCGATCGTTGTTGCTCCTCTTACAATGAGACGCGAATTTGAAATTTCATTGCTCGAAATTTCCCGACACTTCGAGAAATTATCTTAATTCGAAAATTAATTTCTTTTCGTCAAGTGGCATTATTACTCTGTCAACTTAACTTTACACTTGTTAGGCAGTTCGATTCGTCGTTGCAATTATTTGCCAACTATACATCTCTCTGCCAACCCAATCTCTGTACCTCTCTAACCATTTAACTTGATAAATGTATGTTGCGCGCCCTCGTAATTAATGACAGAAGTGATACGTCGCTGTCTGATTATGCGAGTAGGCTTAACTCCGTTGCAATGAATCACAGACGTCTGTCACGCTGTGTCTCTCTTACCCTTCACGATCGTCAAACGTGTTTCCTTTCCAAAAGCATCAATGGTCGACTCGTTCTTGTTGTGGATCCACGAATCGTGGAAACGTCATCCCATCTGGATGAGACGATATTTCCCACGGCGGGAAATTCTTTCAAAAATCCTTCAAAAATCCTCGGCCAGCCAGATCTTTTAGTTTTTCTCCGCGAGAAAAAGGATTTCTTATTCCCGGGCGAGAATTTATAGGTTTAGGATAATAAAATTCAAAATTGAGGAAGGTGAAACGTAGTTTGTTTAGATTGCATCGTCGGGAAGAGGCGCTCGAACACGAGTTAGATTTTCCCTCTATCAGCAAGGGATTTCCCTGTTCTTTTGAGTGTGAAATTTAAGCTCGTACACGTTCAACCTCTTCTCTCGCGGCTTTAAGAAAATTCAGTCTGCTCGCATCGAGTGGCCTCGTTCCGCATTCTTACGGCACGTAGCATCGAAATTGAGACGTCCTTCCTTGGGTAAAGTCTCGCCCGACCGCATTACCATTTTTCGGCAATCGAACCGAATCGATAGTTCTCCGCCTGCTCTGGCGTCGTCCCTCGGCGTCGAGGCGCCGTCCAATCGACCCCCCTTCTGATCCAAACCTATAAATCGCTTGTAAACCGACTCTTCTTTCCATTTCATCGCTTCGTTCCAACGCTATCTTACTCCCCTTAATTTACATTTTGCCGGGAATGTTGCCGATCTTAGATGATGGACCGAAATTCGACACGTTATACGTTACGTTATTTTTCACGATATTTCGGGATCGATGTTCCTCTTTTATACGTTTATATTTTAGAACGGCTCGATATCGGCGAATCGGCGAAAGAATAATCATGTTGGGTTTATTTTAAAAATATTCGTATAACTAGGTATCTAGGTGACACGGATATCACCAAGTGAGAACGTCGATCACGTTTAATATTCCATGGGACGTATCGTTCGAAATAGAAAGGTATACCGCGATATTTTTCGTAACGGCCGATTATATTCGAATCGATGTATCGATAACACGATTCTTTTTAAACGGGCGTTCTTTTTAACTCGGTCAACGGGAACCAATACCCGATTGATCTCGTCCATTTCTTGGCTGACCAAACACGGCCCGTCACTACTAATTTTTCAATCCAAACATTCTAGCTGGTTAACCTGGCAATCGTGAATATCGGATTGCGTTTAAATCACGTTTCACGGGTCCGATGTTTCGAAAATTTACGAAGGGAGCACGGTTGCATGAAACAAATCGTCGGTACGTCGACGAATATTTTCGAATTGAAATACGGCGTGCTCGTTAAACGGAACGACTCGATTCGATACGCGTGAAAAATAATAGAATTACGATTACGATAATAAGAGAAGAGAAGAAACGTTAGAAACCAATTGCAATTTTTTATTCGACATTAAACGATTCGTTGAGAAATTTTTTCTTTTAAAAATTTTTTTTCCCTCGGAAGAAGCATCGATTCATTCCCTCCCTCATCGCCGTTCCAATTGAAATTTTTAGCAATGATATCTTCCCTCGAGTGAAGAATTTAGAAGAAAAGTGCGAAGAGATGGTCGCCTGAGAGTTGAACGAGAGAAAGTGACGTGGTTTGAAGGACGAGTTGTCGAGTGGGATTGAAGTGGGGAACGACAGTTTCCTCTTAACGAATTGGGAAGCGTGCATACCCCTAATGGGAAGGAGGAAGGTTTTCGGTTGAAACTAATTTCGAGCAGTCTGGACTTACGGATCCGTGAATCGCTAAGTAATTTTGGCAAGGCTTTGAGAGGTCGCGATGATAATTTCGGACTTGGGGGCGAAGTTGAGGGTAGGTCGTGGTGGTGGTGCGCCGGCCTGGAACGGTGCAGGATGAAAAGAAAAAGGGTGGGACCGGTGAAGGGGGACAAACGAAAGCTCCGGGAAACATATATTACAAGACGCTCGTAACTTACCTCGATATCGATCGGTCGGGATGCAATGGCGAATGTTTTGAACGAAACCCTTTAGTCCGATCCATTTCGTTAATTTCCTTCTTTTTTTTTTTTTCCCCCTCTCCTTCCCTCTCCTCCCATTCTATTTCTATTTCAGACTCGAATCCCTTTCAACCTTCCTCGATGCCGATCCCTTTTATCCGTTTTTAAAATTTTTCCTTTACCTCGCGAAACGAATCTCGCGGATTTCTTTTTTTTTTTTTTCGTGAAATATAACGAGCGTATAGTTCGGTTGCATTCCACCGTGTTTGCGCGCGCTTTAAACTTTCATTTTGATGCTTTTATTCGTATATATTTCATTTTTTTTTTTTTTTTTTTTTTTTTTTGCTTACCACGCTACTTTGCATCTCGCGTTGACGTAGTTTCTTTTTTCAAACCGTGGTTAATATAAACCACGCGTCTCTTTAGTACAAAAGCCTTGAACGTACTTTTTTTTACTCCGCGTTTGAACACGAAGACCTTCAACACGTAGGATAAATCGTTTCTTTCCTTTTTTTTGGGGGGGGAATTGATCAATTCCCTCTCGTTTTTATGCAAATTTTTCCTTAGAAAATTTCGATGTTTTATTTAATCGTTAATTAACAGAGAAGAGAACGAGACTTGAAATTATCCTTAGAAATTATCCTCGTCTCTGTGTGTATGGAAAACTAACCTCTAGTCTGACAGATGTTGAAAACGATCGCAATCGAGACTTCTTCTGGATAATCTCTCTTCTCATAGAAGATAAAGAGAATTAACTCTCGCGCAGTAGAATCGAAACTGTTCAATTATTCTTACGATCCTTTGACACTGAAAAATTATCCATAGAAAAGTTATCTATCCACTGTACTCGTGATTCCTGCCTGAAAATCTACTCTCGAATTTTTATTTCAACGATTCGTGCGCAATGTTCGGCGTAGTCGGAGAACACTGAAACTAATGCATCCTACTCGAGATTTTCGAGGTTTGAACCTCGCGTGATCCGGTTTCCTTTTTTTTTTCGAGCTCCCTTCGTTTCCTCTTCTCGA